CGAGAATTTTGATTTTCTGCTTCGTGAATTCTGTTGTGAGATTGCGCAGGTTTCCTTTTTGAATAAGTGTCTGAATGTTCAAAGTGCCAATGCAAGTGTTTGTTTTCTGTGGAAGTTCACCAGAGCACTCCGACTTACTTTCTCGTATAAGTCCAAGCTCCCCAGAATCCGAACGCTTGTTTGCCACTTTGGGGTAGGTGGATCGACCACCTGGGGTAATTTTTTCTTTACGTGTTCTAGTCATTTTTGCTTGAAACTGAATTTCTAGCTTTTGCTAGTGGTGTCGAACCAGGGATTGTGAGTTCCTGAAGCGGGTTTGCAGCCGCACCTCCTGATGAACAGACGCTGACTGCACTGCCGCTTGTTTCAAGTCAGACGAAGTGTGAATTTTATTTATCATTTCGGTCCGCGCGTGGTATTTCTTTCCCACTGTGATAGTTTTACGATTTTACTACTTTAATCTGACTATTTTTTGTCAGGCCCCAAGTTGGTCAGCCATTTGTGATGGTTTTATATTTAACTAATTAACTTCCACTATATAATTATGTTGCCCGGTTAAGATTACAATATTGCTATTTCAAACATTTCATTGATTTTATAAACCTTGGTTCGACATATAACACTTTACCTTTGTATTTTATTATTATATGAGGGTGACAGCGCAATAGTGACCTATCCCACATTTTTAGGAAATTGCGTTCTCTGTGTTAATCACATCTTAATCTCCCTTAACATTCAACGGTAAACAGTTTCAGCATGTTCGGCGCGATATTTCAAATATATAATTACAAAAAAAACTATTGCACTTAGCTTACGATAACACTTCTTTGTCATAGTGCCTAAGCAGGCATTGCGTTTTTACAACAAGATGTTAATCCACCAAAAAATTGTTAGTACATTGGTCATTCTTACATGGCCTGTGGGCCTAAGACTTCGTCTTAATTAAAAAAAAAATAAAAAATTCATCCCAATATTCTCACCGGCTGATTGGGTAAATGTCATTATTAACTACAATAAAAACATTTAATGGCGGTTAATGAATAAAATGATTTTGTATCTACAAAATCCTTAGAAAATAATACAACAAACAGAAAGATATCCCTGAGAAAAAACAAACTGGAGAAGGCTGAAAAATGCAGTGGACAAAAAATAGGACACTGCCCCCCCCCTACGGAGATCAGTATTTCTTCTCTTGCGCTGTCTAAAAGAAGCTCTATGGTCTGTACCGGTTGTTTTCCAATCGAAATGCATCTTTTAGCTTTCAAATCCCGCTTGTTCCGATAGAACGATTTTTCATTGGCTGCGGACACTCGCTCTGTGTCCAACGCAGGTTGTTACGGAATTACAGGACATCCAAGCCAATAGTGTTGAAATTGCCAACATGGGTTCGGCAAAACGGTTCTTATGACGCCGCCGCCAGCAGTCCTGAAGGGAAGTTAAGCAAACCTCGAGTATAACTCTCTGCCCGGCCTTTTCCAGCAAAATTCAGCGCAGGAGTAGTGTGCAATTCGGCATCATCTTTCCGATCCAGACAAAACTATGTGAATGCTGTATTCCGATCTTTGCGTCCAGTTCGTATTGTGCATTGAGATTGAGAATGGTTTCTAATTCTGTAACATGCCTGAAAATTGTCAATGTGGTTATGATGCAAGGCTGTGCATGAAGAGAATTGGGCCACCTCGGCCTGATATAAAAAAAATTACAATCTGATTGAAATGGCAATCGTTCTTTTGGACGGAAATTTCAAAGGGGTAAATGGCCATATTAATTTTAGGGTGAATTTAGCCATGTGTTCTCTCTTTGATTGTAAAACATTCCAACAATATCAAGAAAATTTCCCCCTACAAAAGGTTGATCGCGTTTCGTACTATCCGTTCGTGAGCTAACAAACTGAAATCTGAGCTGGATGTGCTATATAAAAGAATCCGAGAGAGCTTTTTTACTTTGAAAAGATTATAGACAATTTAAAAAAATACCATGTCGGAAGAGATATTGAATGGACTTTGAATGTTTTCATTATAAAGAGTTTTGTTACGAGACTTATTTAATTTTGAAGAATTAGTAATAGATTTATAGAATGTAACAACAGAAGACTGAATTTAATTTATAGATCATGTGTTTACCCTGTCTTCCGGGGTGATAATTCGATTGTAAATATTACTTGTGTGACTTAAACAATCCAAATATAACTATTTTTCAAATGTCTAACATTGTTTGATGCTGTAACTTTGTGTGCCCTCCTTGTTGCCTAATCCCAGAGCCGCCACTGCATGTATGAAAGAAGACTTGTGAGCAATTTATGGGTGCAGTATGTTGACATTGTCATGTCTAGTTTTATACTCTGTTGCAGTTGATGACTGACATCCTGACACACTATGCTGAATTCTTCTATACCGAAGTGGCAGCGCCTGCAAGTGTCAACCACCGTGCCATCCTTGATGATATATTTACTGTAATTTCTTGTGCTCATTACCTGATCTTGGATAGCGCACGTAAAGCCCTCTGTCTCCGGAAACAATCCTCCATCAATTTTGAGAATTTCTAGCGAGTTGAATGTATTCCGAATAAGGCTCGTACTCAGCCAATGAGGTGAGCTGAATATAATCCATATAAACTATCACCTACATTTTACTGAGTTTATAGTATTTATTTTGTTCATAAGTGTATTACTTTTTGTCTAAAATATGTTCATATAAAAGTTGAAACAAAAATTGTTATTTTTCGTCAGTAGGCAGATACTATTTTGCTCACCCAGAAAAACAATTCACGACATGCCGCAGGTATTCTCCTCCCAAATCAGGTAATATTGACGAACTCGACGACTTACTCGCTTTCTGTGTCACTAAATACGAGGACTTTCTTATAATGGGTGACTTCAATTATAATTTATTGAAAAAATCTGCTTCATCCTACAACTTTGTTTGTTTTTTTGGTAACATGAACCTAACGATTCTTCAAAGACAACTCACATCACAAGAGATACTGAAACATGAGTATATCGTATTGTGGCATGGTGGTAGCGACTTGACAACACAGACAGCTCTCGGGTTACGTACGCCTTACGTTTCCCTCCGTAACTCCCCGTCCCTATGGCTGGTGCATTCCTCCACCCAGACGCTCTAAAATTTTATGGAATATCAGATCACCGTAACACGACTTATACAATTTCGATAACAATTTTCTCGAATTCTAATTTCTTTTTCAGTTTTTTTTTTATTTTTTATATTTTCCCCATCAGTTCCATCATCGGGCCCCTTGACGTGCTTGGCCCCGGGCTATCGCGCGATCTTCTCGCTTCTAGCACCGGCACAGCTTACCATTCGCAAATAGGGTTGCATCGGTGTGCTATATCGGACCAAAAAGTTTTATTTATTGTATATTAATTTTTCTTACGCATATAACTAAAACAACGTGGGAAGTAGACATTTCGAACAAGTTTCAAGGAAAGAAATGATTTAAATCGGATGAATATTGTACATTGAAAGTGAATAGTGGAGTCATTCGGAATAACACGTATTTCTTTACTTAATATGAAAATATCTAGAAATGCAAGTAATCTTAAGTAGTAAATAAGGGTGTCCAGAAAGTAATAGCGTTTCTATTTGTTTGATTGCTTGTTTTTGTTGGTTTTTTTGCACCCTGAGTTAGCCAAAATACGGGCTGAGGTGAGCTACTTTATACTGTGATCACAACTGAAAATATTTACGAATTTCAAATTTCACTTCATTAACTTCACATACTTATATTTTAAAATTAATTTGAGAGAATTTTCTAAAATGTGAATCTTCATTCAGTTTTGTGAATAGTATTTTTAGCTCAGGATTATGCAATATGATTAATTTCTCATGTTGTGTTAAATATAATTCTGCAGAGTACCAGAATGAATACCATCATTGCATCATTGATATCAAGTGTAGTTCTTTTCCTACTTTGAAACAATTGAGATTTTCATCTGAAGGTTGAGAAATATTAATGTCTCTTGGTAATTTTGGATGCCGTTTTCCAAATATTAGAATAGTATCATTGCATCAGTGATGACATGTGTAATTCTTTTCAGATTTATCTACAACTACAAATGAGAGTTGATGCAGATTTCTTGTTTATGCAACAGTGTGTTTATTCAAAAAAAGTTATGTGAGTGATTCTGTGTAGAAAGATGGTAGAGAGGGCTTATTAGTTTGTTCTTGAATTGTGTTTGTAACAAAAAACGTAAACTTCAATTACATGGGTTTCTGTGATATTTAAATAATGACATGACTGAGCAAATGCAGGCTTCAGTGGAACCGATTTCATGCACATTTGGATTGCAAATTTAATAAATAGATTCTAAGATTCCATATAGCTTTGGCATTAATAAAATGTTCATGCTTTTGTGGTGGTATGATTCTCACATACAAACAGAGTGAACAAGAGGGAAAAGAGGAAGAGATGGATAGAGAAGAGATTCATTTTCTTACATACTTCTAGTTCATTTATATGTGGTTTTAGAATGCAATGAATAAATATAATTCAAAATATTTTAGAATTACATTTTTATCTTTTGTATAGTCACTGATAAAAATTAATACAGTCTATAGTTTGAGACCGATTATTTTATTTTATGCAAATGAGGTATATTTATGATTGGTTTCTGGTATTACAATAGTTTTTATTTATATGCACTAGACCAGCAAGGATAGTCTGAATACAATACAAAGTTGTACATTTGTATTATTTGTATTTTGTATAAACCAATGAATGTGACATATTCTTTTGGCTTCTTGGCACACACTTCCCATTATAAAAAGCAAGTTTTGTACTTCAGGAGAGTGTAGCACACAAAGTAAGTAATGTATGCCCCTCTATGAAAATTATGTATAAAACAAAAAGTATCTACATACATGAAGCACAACAATTCTCATGAAGTTAACATTGATAATCTGCACCTACAAAATAAAAAGCTTGTATCTGTTGCATGTAGTTAATATGAACATACTCATCAAAATTATTAATAGATTTATTATCCTTGGAGAGTAATATGAATATGTTCAGTTACAATACAATTAATACTTTTCGGAATATGGGAAAATTCACAAGCAGAATCATACATTCATTTTATGCTAAACATAAGTAGAAAGTTCAGTCTCTCACAAAAATGGCATTTAACATTGACAAAGGTTGCTTGCTCTTTTTTCAAAATCTCACTATTTACAAATGATAATGCTTCATGGAAACAATAGAAAACATTAATGTATTACATAGATATGAATATAACATTAAATGGTTCATCAGTGTTCCCACTGAATACAAGGTCGTTAAAATATTGACATGTGATCAAATTACTCTTTGATACCTAAGGTCACTAAAATTATGTAATTAGTTGAGATACAATTATTCATTATTTCAACAATATAAAACATAAAACAACGTATCAAACAAAGACAAGATCTTAGATACAGAAATTATAGTAGAGGCGGCATTTTAGTAGAAGAGAGATTGTAGTTCTATTTTGACATCTGAAGTAGTCATAAAAGCAGAATAATTTTAGAAGGATACAAGTAGCAATTAGGAAATCATATAGTGGGTGGTGGTAGCAACAAGGGTTAAAGTAACATAGTGTTCACATTCGTCATGTTATAGTATTGTACGTTTATCAAGAAGAGGAACAAAAACTACAATAGTAGATTTAGAGAAAGATATAGAATTTGTAAACAGTGTTAGCACAGTTCACTGAACTTAAAACAAAAATTCTCACAATTGAATAGTTTTAATGGAGGAAACAGTAATAATTGAACTCTAAGGCATATTGTTAATCATAATATTGTTTGAAAATGGCCATGGCATGTGGTTGTAACATGTTCTATCCCAAAACTGAATATTAATAGTTAAAAACTGAAACTAGCTTATGGTGCACTGAGTATGAATAAATTTCATCATCAACTTTCCCTGATACATATAAAAGGATAAAAATTCTTGGATGATAATTCCCAAAGTAAGGAAATAAAAATAAATCAACAACTTTCCATATCTGAATAATGCCAAAATTATAGTACCCTTTCAGTGTCTGTAAGCAGACCCACTTATCAATTTTAAGTCTGGTTGAGAATGTCATGTACTTTGTTCCTGCATCTCAGCCATTGAAAGATCACTTGAAAACACAGGTTTTTGCTCCTCAATGGAAACCACTTATACCACAGAAGTTCGCTAAAGAGAATGATTCGGCGATATTTGAAATTATGTGGATATTGATTAACATGTAATTATAGTTTATAATTTGAATGATACGTTGAGAATTAATCATAAAATTTACTTCTAAATTACAGGTAAAAATTAATAAATCGAAATACAAATTACTTCTATTCTTATTTTTTTGTTTGGTTGCTGTCGACAACTGGAACATGTATGCCGCGCTCGTGGATATGAAAAAAAATTATTCTGGTAATAGTGTTAATATTATTGTCTTTTACTAACGTTCGTTTAATATTAGTACGGGTCCTTAGTTACACCACAGAAACAGCTAGTCTAGTGTAGGAAACAGTTATGTTGGAGTGTGAAAAATATTCATAATTTAATTTATTATTTTAAAAACTGAAATTGTATTATCAATTTTGAAATATCAATTTCATAAGTTATCCTTTACTTGCCTAACATATTTTCATAAATATTTTTTTAAAAATTAAAAAATCGAATTAACAAATAAACATACAAAGAAGTACAGAAAGTTTACATAAATATAAAAAACAATGAGAAAGAAAATATTACAGTGCCTGAATTCATTTTAAATTACTCGTCAGCGAAATGTAATGGGTCCCACCGTTAGATTTTTCATAAATCTGAACCGAACAGGAAGAACGTTTAAAGATATAGTGTCTATAGTGTATCACCAAAAAAATTAACAGAAAATCCATGAATTTAATTACACTGATAGCACAACATTTACCACTACACAAGTAAAAGCGTATTTTATGATATTCTTCACGTCATTCTGTGAGAATATTCAACATATATTAAATGCAATAGAAATAAATAAAAGCAGAACATGCTAGGTAGCGAGGAAAGTCATTACACAAAACACACTGATGCTATCACAGCTTCAAAGCAATGGCTAAAACTATTAATGCCAAAAAGTGGTACTAGAGCATTTATAAGAAGCCAAACCTTTAACCCATGGTATATCTATATGACAACGGCGAGGTTACTGACAGAGGTTGTGTGTCTATTCTTTTTGGCTCGTCTCACTTCGGATGTAGTGCCGGTGACGTAATGGAGAGGGACTGTTGCTTTCATCGTCGTTTGCCGGAACATGTTCGTTGTCAGAGAAACAATTATTTTCGTAGTCACCGTGATGAAGACAGTCTTTCATTTTGATGTGAATGCTGCGACTGCGGCGACAAGTGGCAACAACAGTAGTAGTTGTAGAAGTTGTAGTGTAGTAATAGTAGCTGTAGTTGTAGTAGTGGTAGAAGAAGCAGTACTAGTAGCTCTAGTATCAGTACTAGTAGTAGTAGTACTAATAGTAGTGCTAATAGTTGTAAAAATAGTAGTAGTAGTAGTAGTAGTAGTAGTAGTAGTAGTAGTAGTAGTAGTAGTAGTAATAGTGATAAAAGAAAGGACAATGGTGGTATTGGAGTTGGCAGTAGTGATGGTGGTGGAGGTAGAGGTGGTGGTAGTAGTTGTAGTGGTAATCGTAGTAGTAGTAGTAGTGGTAGTAATAGTGGTGGTGGAGGTGGTGGTAGTAGTAGTAGTGGTAGTAGTACTAGTGGTAGTAATAGTAGTAGCAGTGGTAGTAGTAGTAGTGGTGGGAGTGGTGGTAGTAGTAGTAGTAGTAGTAGTAGTAGTAGTAGTAGTAGTAGTAGTAGTAGTAGTAGTAGTGGTAGAAATAGAAGTGATGGTAGTGGGAGTGGTTGTAGGATAAGTGGTAATAATATTAGTAGTAGTGGTGGAGGTGGCTGTAGTGTAGGGGGGCAGTGGTAGTAGAAATAGTTTTGGCAGTGGTGGTAGTAGGAGGAACAGGGGGAACTTAAAATGAAAACTTCAGTAAAGCTGTGCATGAGGGGATTCATGGTAGAGGCATACTGAAAGTAAAATTGTAATAATAAATAGTTTAGGAGCAGAAAGATATATACAGTGAAAGGACGCTAATCGTGATTACAAAGTAGGCAACTCTGACACTGGCTTGATAATTACAGGTTGCTTAGGCTTAGTTGGGGCCCACCTGTACTAGATATTCAGGCATGGCTACGAAATTGTTTTTATGGCCCGTTAATAGCACTTTTTGGTGCATGAACATTTACGCACAATGTCGACGTCCGTAGTGTAACGTGTCCCATCGTTACAAATCAGTCGCACCTTACGACGTTTCGTCTTCCGAGCTCGACAGCAGCTTGAACCACAATTTCCTTCACATTTTGCTAACTTCACTGGTTTTCTTGATCTACAACCATTTTCCATGTAATACTCACGTGTCTGTTCCTTACGACACGAGGGCGCTGAAATAAAAACAATTGCTTTTTTTAGTATTTTATAGTAGTAAGGACAATACAAAATTTCAACCAGATTCAAAATCACTGTAACACATCTTCGACAATAAAGCGTCAAAAGTGGCCAACGAGGAAATGATAGTTTAAAGCCCCCCCCCCCCAAAAAAACTTTTATAACAATTTCCTGCGCCCCCACGAGAGTATCGTTCGAGTGTAAGGTTGAGCAACTGGAGTAAGATAGAAGTTGTCTTTTGGGGGCACATTGTTTTTTTAAGAACATCTTATATTTTAAGAACATGCAGGACAAACATTTTTCTGATAGGACGTTCCATGTGCAATAATCTAGTGGTAGTACAACAGCACGCAATTTCTCACATTAATTGCAACGGATACGCAATATTATACTATCACATAAACCTGCAAAAGAGTATTCGACCAGCATTTTTTTTCTTCTTCCCGCGCAGTCTTTCCAACTCAGGTTATCCGAGTCAACATGTCTCATGTGTTGTGGTTACAACACTGGCACACTGCAATGCTCAGCTTTCCCGGCGCTTCAAAAATAGTATTTTGTGGCATTCTTTCTGGCAAGTTATTCAATTTTCGAAAATCAAAGTTTAACTTAAAGAAAATGACTGTTTTTAACCCTTGCTCTATCCGTTGAAAAAATTTTAAGAAATTAATTGGTGTCATTTTTGAGAAAACAATTACACTGCATTAAATTCAAGCAGACAATACGCGAAAACTACTTGTTTTTCAAAAACAATTGTTTCCAAAATAATTATTTTAAAACCTAATTTTTTGAATAGATTTTATTTAGCAAAAATATCTCTACCCTTTATATTCTGTAAACATTTATATCCTCTTATCAATATTGTATCTATACATTCTCTATCGCATTATTTCCCTGATTTATGAAACCACACCCAAATTTTAAGACTAATTTGACGCTCTACGAAAAATTATTCTTGTATTTTTATTCCAAAAATCTGGGCTGTACAAAGAGAAACAATTAACATAAACTTTGTACAGCCCTGATTTGTTGGCGGTTTCATATTTTTGAAATGATTCTGAGATGGATTTTGTAGGTGGGCGCTGTTAGTTTTAATCTAAAGCTAACAGCACCCACGATTTTGGAAAATCTATGAGTCGAAAATTCGGGAATAGAACATTTATTTGGTCTTAAATTAGCCTAAAACTTTGCAAATGGTTTGGTTGAGATTGGATTTGGGGCGATGCTAGCTTGACTGCGGCGTGGAGCATGAGAAATGCCGCAGGACCGAAGGCTCGCAGGGATTTCCACGCTTGGACGGGCAGCAAGGTCTTGAAAGGTCTCAATACTAATTGTCACAAATCACTACTTGCATTGCTGCAATGCAGCTACAAATTTGTAAGAAGGAGTTTTCTAAGGGACTGAACTAGCTGGTAAAATTTCATGTCAATCCGAGTATCAAGCTCGGTGAGTATTGTGTGTTAGAACACACCAAAACACACACGAGCTGCATATGGCCTTACAAGAAAGGGAAGAAGACATACAGAAGAGAGCAAAGGTAAAAAAGTGAAAGGAATTGGAAGAGAAAGAGAGAAAGACAGGGAATGAGAGAAAGCAAGCGAAAAAGAGTAAAAGAGTGAGAGAGCGCGAAAGAGGCAAGCAAGAAGTGAGAGCGAGCAAAAGAGAGAGAGAGAGAGAGAGAGAGAGAGAGAGAGAGAGAGAGAGAGAGAGAGAGAGAGAGAGACTGCAAGAGAGCGAGAAACAGCATGAAAAAAACGAGAGAGAGCAAGAGAGCGAGCACGAGAAAGCGAGGCACAGAGACAAGGAGAGAGAGCTAGAGAGTGAGCAAGAGAGCGAGATAGAAAAAACCGAGCAAGAAAAAGAGAACCAGAACGAGAGCGAGTGAGGGTGCGGGAAACAGTGAGCGAGAGAGTGAGAGGCCGACAGTGAGGAGGCGAGAGAGAGCGAGAGCAAAAGAGCGATGGAGAGAACGAGAAGAAAAAGCGAGAGTAAGAGCGATACAGCGAGAGAGAAACAAAGCGAAAGAAAGAGCGAGAGAGTGGGAGAGCAAGCGAGAAATTTCGAACGAGTGAAAGATAAGAGAATAAGAGATCGAGAGAGCAAAAGGGCAAGAAATTGCCTGTGAACGAGAGCGGGAGAGCGAGCAAAATACAGATAGAGAGAGGGCGAGAGAGATAGTGGGTGAGCAAGAGAGAGCAGGGAAGAGAAAGCGTACTTTTGCGAGAGAGTGCGAGAGTGAAAGGGGAGACTGCGAGCGAGCGAGCGAGCGAGCGAGCGAGAGCAACGGAGGGAGAGCGAGAAGCCGATAGAGTGAGATAGCGAGAGAGAACAAGCAAAAGATAGCGAGAGGATGAGAGCGAGAATAAGTGCGAGAGAAAAAACAAGAGAGTGTGAGAACTAAAAAGCGAGCGAAAACGATAGATATATAGAGATAGAGAACAAGATAACACGAAAGGGAGCGAGAGAGAACGAAAAGAGGGAGCGAGAAGAGAATGAGAGAACCAGAGGGAGAGAGTGAGGGTGGGTGAGACAGCGAGAAAGAGCGAGAGAGGGAAAGCAAGAGACAGCGAGAGTGAGAAAGCGAGAACGAGAGAAAGTAAGAGCGCGATGGCGGGCGAGAGAGCTTACAACACAGAGCGTGATAAAGCGAGAGAGTAAGAGACGGAGTTTGAGAGAGAAGAAAAGATTGAGCGAGAGTCTGCGAGTGCGAGAGAGTGATAGAGGGCACGAGAAATAGAGCAAAAGAGGGAGAGCAAGCGAGAACGAGTCGGGGAGCGCGAAAAATGAGAAACAGTGCGAGCGAAAGATAGAGCGAGAGCCTGAGAGAGTGCAAAAGAGAGAGCGAGTGCAAGAGAGAGTGCGAGAGAGAGGAGAATGCAAGAGAGGAGAGTGCCTTTCTCCTCCACTACACAAGTGAAACAATGGGTTTTGAAAACAAAGACATTGTAAAGATGAACGTTGTTGAGGTAATTCAGCATTTCCTTGAGCTCTCTTCACGTAAGTAGAAATCAATTTTTCGTTTCCGTGTTGCCTCCTATTTTTACTGTGAACTTCAATTTGTGAGTTACATTTTATTGAAAAAACTTACCATCCTGCCTCCTCTCTCTGGCTACAACGAAATATTCTAACCCCCTTTCTTTCACAAACGTTGTCTGCGTTCCATCTTCCAACGTTTTATCAAAAATAGCCCACTCCCTTCAAGGCATTATGCACACGTAATAAAACTGCAAATATTACTGGTTCGTATGATTTTACGTGTTCGTGATGTGGCAAACTATCTCAACATTAACTGCCCACCTCGCCCCAGCACGTGACGCTGGATTATCGCGAAGAGTCAATCACACACTAGTGCGTAGTGTAGGGTGGTATTTCAAGTACGGTCACGAGCAAGAGCATGAAATACTGGAATAATATGCAAGTTATAGATTTCCAAAATTTGCAACGAGGATGTGCATATCACGCGCGAGAATCTGATTATCTCTATCGCTGTCGTTTTCATGGGGACTATACAGTATAACGCAGTCGGAGATTTGCAGAGGTTGTCTAAGTTAGCATGGACCGGATAATGTGGTGGTAACAAAACTATCTTTAGAATTGCAGCTGGAGGAGATGAGGTAGCAGGAGATATTCTGTGTAAGAACCGGAGGCACCGCTTCTCAGTAAATATCGTTCTCAGGCGTCTTTCTCCATTGCGACATTGGCTCTACAAGATGCAGACTATGTACCTCTGTTAATGTAGCCCATCTCTACACATTCTATAGTAAAGTTTTTAAAAGAATAAGATTTTATTCTATAGTGATGCTCTATTTCTTTTTTAACATGAAGTTTGCATTTCCAAACATCTATGAAATTATCTGGTTCAATATTTTTGTTTAATATCTAAAATTCCAACACTAGTTATTTTTACTTTTGATCATAATTTGGCACATATTAACAATACGTATTGTTGGCACATTTTTTATGAATATATCGTATTGTACAGAATATATTGTAATAATTTTCTTAATCAATTTATTTTGGTACCTAAGGCTTGAATTTACAGTTACTCTGCGCGACCAAATACGACCCTATTGATTCCGTGATTATTGAAGTGTTGCTAATTTTAAAATGCCAATTATTTGTTCACAATAGCTGTATTCTAGCATGGTAGAGTGAAACTAGGGCGATGCCGCGAAATAGGATGGCTAGAAAGAGCTTTTCTCCCGCTTTGCCCAGAGGCCCAAAAAGTAACGGTTTTCAGCGCGTTTTAGTGCCTAAACGGTTTTTCAGAAATTTGAAGTTTAAGTATGTATTTTTTAGGAAATTTTACCTAATATATTTTGTTACAGAACAATTTTTCGTTAAAAGGCATAGTTTTAAAGATATAAGTGAAACACTAAAAACAGGGTGATTTTTGTTGTTGCCATTTTCCCTGGAAAGTTGACGCTTTTTGAGGTGGCAAACATCAAATTCGATTTCAGCATCCTCAAAAGCATATGGAACCATTGTGAAAAAACTTCTGGAATTTTTTCCTGGTTTAAATGCCTTTTAACTGGATTAAAAGTGAAGGAAGGAGGGGGGAGGGAGTAGATGTATCATTCTTCACAAAATAACCCATATGCATATGGTTCCACGAGAGAGTTTTAAATTATTCTAAGCTTTTACCTTGCTCGCAATAACGGCCACCCCATCCAGGTCGGCATCGACACGCATACTCTCCTTGCCGTTTAGGTATGCATTTGCTGCCCCTTCGGCATTGATTATTGTGGCAAGCATTCATTTCCACATCGTCATCCTCGATTACTGCTCTGTCTTCCTCCATCTGCTCCTCTTCGTCTTGCATCAACGAACAGCCTGGAGTCACTTTCTGTTGGCGAGCTGCATTTACGAAATCCACTGGTTTATGATTGATCCATAATTCTTTCATACATCCTGTAAATAGACAATATACTAGAGAAATTCATATAAATACCCAATTTCTAAATAAAATACAATTAGGCTCAGTACTAGTAATGTTGCTAAGAATCGTTTGAAAATAAAGTTTTTATAATAAAAACAGAATATTTTTTTAAAGAAACTGCATAATTATACCAACGATGCTTTAAGATGCAGAATGATAACAGTTCTGTAAACAACAGGAATTCTTTCTTACTCGGGCGCGCATACTTGGCAAAATGTTTATGTATCTTCTCTAAGTAAGAATATACTATTTCAGAAATTAAATTATAAACATTTATTCAGCAAATGTGATTCCAAGATGTAGCTCGACCCGGAATATATCACTATACACGCTGAGTCATTTCACGAGGCGTAAAATCAGGCGTGGATCCACGTGGGGGGGGGAGTGGAGGAATGAGGGAAATTTCCCCACCCCCTCAGTAACCATTAATTTAACTTCACTCGAAACACTTAAGCAACTAGTACGTAAAACAATACGTACTTTCTCGCCCGTATTTTCAATCAAAATTACGCGAAAAGTACTAAAATTTTCGAAAAATTGTACCTGACATAATTTTAAAATCTATGTTTAAGGAACAGATTTCATGAAGGGAAAAATATCTATCTTTAATATTTTAGTTGTGAAAAGATCACAACTACACGACTTTTGTGTACATTATTGCTTATTGTTTTGCACTTCACTACACTTCCCTACAGTTAAATTTACTACACTTCACTAAGCTACTACTCATGCCCGGTCTATTTCACTTCTTTTCTATTCAACCGATATCCTCACTGAACATTTCACTGCAGCAAACACCACACTGCACTGCACATAACTACATGCAGATTTCATATTACAAGAAAATTAGATTGTTCTTCAAACTAGACAATATTGTTAGCATATCTATTGCTAATCTAACCTATGTCTAAACATTTTTACACTGCGAGGAAAAGTTTCAAAGACTGGAGTATATTCATGGATTGGTAATACTTGATCGTCCGATTCATAAAAGAGAGTTTTGTGACGTCTGCACTCTGCTTCTTCCGTTCAATTAGGAAAGGATGTTCCCCTCTGCATAGTTCTTTTTTAAATTTGTCGCGTCTTCAATTGACGCAACGCGTCTCCAAGCCCCGGGGGGCGTTGAGCGCTTTGCGCTTCCGGAGTAATCCTCCATTAATATTTCAATGTCACATCCGTCACGTCACGTCGCAGTCAGTTGTAAAGAGGACCGCCAAGTAGCATTTCCGCGTACGCGCCTCCTACTACGCGCCCCTGAGTCATTACTCAGTGGCCAGAATTAGGAAGGATTTAGGATCGGGGGAGGGTTTAGGACACTTCACAGGGTTTGGGCTAGTCCCTGTCAAGCACGCCAACTCGTTTTGTCGTAACAAATTTCACATGAGGTTCTACGGGGATTCTATCTTCGAGAATCGAACCCGGAACGTCAGTGGTGAAAGGCAAGCGACTTCGCCACCGAGCCACGAGAGCGATTCTCGATTCTACTCTGAATTTCACCATGCCGGTTCTTCTATGTAAGCTTTAAATAGAGCCCAAAGCCTAGACATTTTTCTACACGTTTCTAACGATTCTCACATCAGACCTACGAATGTGCTTTATTTACTGAATGGGAATTTTTCTGCAGTGAGAAGAGGGTTGAATATCGACTGGCCGTTACTCGGTCGAGTATTTTATCGCGTTATCTTAAAATTTTGCAGTTTACAAGTGGCCACCACTAAAGCAAAATCGAGGTTTGGAAGTAAATTAAGTAAAATAGGATATATTAAAAATTGGTTATTTTAAGGGATCTAATACCAAAGGAGGATGCTAATAGACAATTGCGTTACGCATAACAAATTTAGTGTTAAAGCCCAATAATTTTGAGGAAAATGTTAACTGTGCCCACCACTGGTGATTTTACCCAACCACATTCTATTCTGCTTGATAAAATATCTACAACACTTATGGAAGCTATGAACCGCCGCGGAGACGTAAAGGACATAATAGCAGGCGGCTAGTGAACTAAAAATCATGAAAGTGATTCCAATCGTAGCATCTGGAAATGGTTAGGCATCAGAAATGGTAAGTTAGTGGGTAAAAAAAAAAAAAATGAGAAGCACTGGTATACCATTCAGAAAAAAACATTATAAGAAGCTGGAAATATTGTTTTTAAATTCGTGAATCTGAGATTTCTACAACTCATGGCTTATTGGTTCTTTGAAATTGGTCAAAACACGTTTTAATACTTAACAGGAAGAAAATAATTACCATGAAAGCTGGTGAGATTACGCAAGTGCCATTGCGTAAATGCCTCCTGACCAGGTTCCGATGGAATTCCACCAACATAGAGAGGTGACGTTAGCCTCAAATAATCATGTTTTCCTTCATTTATTATACTGCGAGCTTGTCCGTGATCCACTCTTAATGTGAAGTTTTTTTTTATAGCAATAAGTTCTGCTACATGGTACTTTCCGTCAGATACCATTTCGAAGCTGAAAGTAGAGAAACAATGATTATATAAAGAGTTACAGGCATTTTTATAGAAAATCATACAAAATTGGTACAAACGGCAGTGCTAGTGGCGGTAGTGAACTGAAAAAAATACCAGTTTTTATACGTCATTTTTTGTTGCATTTTTCGTGTATTTCAGCTAATAAGTAATTTTTTACAGTTTTTCGCTGATTTAATCGATTTTAATGGTACTTGTTTCGAATAATATTTACAAGATGCAACAAATGTTCTTCACAGAATTCCTGAGATTCCTATATCTGGTAGCTTATTGGATTTCTTGGCCCAGAAGTTGTAATGCCAGCCATTTTTTTGTTATTTACGGTCCCATCAATATCTAGGTAATTAGCGACCATTATTGCACTTAACGGTACAGTAACTGGGAAGATAACATGATATGGCGATTATTGGGGGTGAAAGGACGAACACAAATACAACCAAGCCCGAGGCGAAACTCAACCCGCGATTCTTCGGTCCGAGATCACTACGGCACTGCTGCCTTAACGATCTCGACCATCCGGACCGGCTTGTTAGTATCCGGACCATTGTTAGTATGGAATCCAAGGTTCCTGTGACACCTGTCATTACCAATGGCGATTCAGCTGATTTCGGGATTACTAAAGTCAGAGGTTTCCTGGTAAAGAACAGCCTAACCCAAACGTTTGAAAGCTGTGATCTTTTGAGTGAATAGAAGAAGCATTACATCAGTAACATATCCAACAGCTTCTGTTGTTCATCTGAACTGATTTCGATAATTTTTTTACGTTCGATAATTTTTTTCGGTGTTCTTTGCTTTTAGGGCATTTAAAAAACATTTTAAGAGAATTTTATTGATAATTTTTGGCGATGTTTTAGGTCATCAAAATCCGCCCCCGAGTCATTATAAATTCATTTGACAAGGGAAAGATGTGTGCTGAGCCATGAAAGCTGACAGGAACAAAAATCACTAATTAACAGCAATGCGACCATGAGGCCATTTGCCTAGAAGTATAGAGAGAGTACAGATTTACCCGCACTAAATTGAAACCATGAGTTGTCATGACATCAACTACTAAACATTCCAACATACTGAATTTAGGAGTTACACTTTTGTTTTACAATTGTTCACTGTAAAGCTTTCCACTTAAACTCGCGTAGATATAATTCGCAAGAGGCAGATATTCGCAGCCCAGAGCTCCTTACGTTTGAAAAGTAGAAGGGAGGTATAAAGGAAAGTAAAAGCTTTTTGCCATCGCCTGCACACTAGGAAATGTTCCTTTTGCTGCCTGTACAACCAGTGGTGGTCCCTGGCAGTCGTCGCTGTAGCGATAAGCATCAGCCTTTAGCGAGATGGCGAAAACGGAATTCTGTTGGAATGACCGCTGAAGTCACTCTCTTGTTTTCGATGCATTCACCTTATCGAGCAGTACTAAAGGCATTATACTTCTAGTAATAAACGTTCAGTGCTAATGCCACATATTTATAAAACCGTCGACTGCGAACAGGCTGTTCACTTGTGGTCACATTAACAGACAAATTCGTAAAGAATTAAGGAGCCGCGTAATGCCAGACGCGTATTGCAATGCAATGACAGAATCGTAATCAGAATCGAAGGCAGGATTTGAATAATAGTCAGAATGAGAATTCGACTGATAATCAGTCTAGACTCCGAACAGAAAGAGAGGCTGAAAATCCGCTGAGCGCAGGGTCCGGGGCCATTGAGCTGTCATCTCACCAACTGTCAACGTTTCGCTGTCACCGCTGGCTGTTGGCGATGTCGAATTCACCCACACTTTGCACAATACGCTACAATGCAATGTGCAGGATACGCAAGAGAAACGCACGACTGCTTGATAATTTGAGATAGACATTGTAGCACTTGTAATAATAATTATGCAATCACACGGCCTATTTAAGTTATAATTAGTCCCCGGAACTTCATGCACTAAAACAGTTAAAAATATACATGCAACCATGCACTTAAAATTTGCAATAAATGCACTTAAAATAACAAATATATGCGCTTATAACTAAGAATATGCGTTAAACAAAAATATAATTACAACAGTTAACATTTATTTACAAGTAATATTATTTTTACACTAGTAGAAAACGCGTGTAATAAAACTATATTATCTAACATTATATTAAACAAACCATTATTAAGCGAGAGAACCTATAACATTGTTATAAAATACCGAAACATTTAGCCCAGTTCACTACGTTCATTCGCACAAATAGAGTTACAGGAAGTATATTCGATTCAAGGGAAAACAATCTTAAGAGAAAACTCGGAAATATGTTGGGATTGTAGTATTGTTCTGGTTTAATTCACTATTTCGAAAAAGAAAAACATGAAATATTTGACTGTAACCAACTTCTACAGAAAAACTTGTAATATATGCACTTAAATATGCGCAAACATTAAAATATGCAATGAAAGAAAAAAAATCTCAGAAATATGCAAAATAAAGACGGGCTAAATTTATTTTATTTTGGGGGATAGGTAAAGTTATATACATTTACTTTCAATAAGAGCAATCAGTAAAAATATACAATTGCATTACGCTCCGCGGTCTGGTTATTATAAACATTATTGTCGGAAAGATGACATAAAACTTTTACACACAAAAAAATAAAAATAAAAACGAGCAAGTCCTCTCGCATTTAACATTGATTTTTATTACGTGTACAGTCAAACCTGGCACAGCACTGCAGTAATCTATTGTTGATTTATCATGACATTTATTCGTTTTTACGTGTAAAGAAAAAAAGAAAGGTTTCATTCTGCGTCATAACATTGCGTGATACTAGCTATTAAGGCCTTGCGTCGTCGACCATCTCAGTCGGACGGGGTCAACCCTTCGAATATATGCGTAACTTGTAGAGCGGGTAATTTGCCCTAAAAAAATCCCAACTCAGTAAAAGTCGAGTATGTTTGTGTTTATACTTAACTAGTGGAACCTGGCAGACGTTGTTCTGCCCTTCATTTCCCTCTTTGTCCTTCCCTCTCCATTTCTCCGAGTCTCCCTCTCTGTCCAACTCTGCCTCTCTCTCTAATCTAAATATCTCTGTCCAAGTCTCACTTTGTCAGTCACGCTTAGGGTGGAAAATATTTATTTCTGTTCGATCTCTGCTTTTGCCGTATGCTACACAGCGGAAGTATCTGGCCTCTCTTTCGTCTGAATCTTTCAGTACGTTGTAATCATACATCACAATATAAATCTTAAGTTGAAATAAAAATTGCTTTCTATCATTGAATTACGGGTATTGTGTTCTATTCTTACAAGAAAAAAAATTGAGCGAGCGGGGAGTTGAAGTCAAGCACTAAAGTTTGCGAAGCCAAAACCTAACACCGGATTACAACAGCTCCCACACGCACACCCTCTACTGCAAAACCCACATATTCTTCTCACATAAATGTTTTTAGAAATAAATAATGTTATTTCAATATTTGAAGTTTGCCGGAAGGTTAAATGCAATTAGAAATCAGAAAGACTCTTTATTGGAAATAAAAATAAATATTTTGTCTGATACCTAGAAATTGCGGAACATTGAATGTATTGTACCATCAAATGGAAGACTCGTTGGCCAGACTCAAAATCAATTGTTAAAACAATATCATCGGACCATTCTGGACAAATGTTCGGCAACATTACCCACCAATTGCAAAACTTCCACTGAGACATTTGATGGATTTCTTCATCTCTTTATCTGTGTCTACACATTTTCTAGACTTCAGTTATTACTTTCTCACACTAACTTCGTAATGTGACATATCAAAAATACTCCCAAGGAATTTAATGAAGGGAGATATTCGAATGTATGATTACTTTAGAACGGGATGCATAAAAATAGTGTAGGAATATACGTCCTCAGGACAACATTTCAACAAACTTAGTGTTCCGTACTCGAGGGTCTGGACGAGGTGTTCTTGGGCGAAGAATGACCACAGGACATAATGTTGAATAAATGACAAGACGGAGTTGAAAATCCAGGTTACGCAATTATTTACGCTGGGTCAGTCTCTCTCCTGGCAGCCAACGAAGTGGACGGTACTAATTTTCCAGACTTAGTTCAGGTAACAGTTTTATGTTAGGAAACTGGAAACTTACGTTCATTGTGTGATTTGTTTATGTGTAGAATATAATTTGTAATTTGAGGGTATCATTTTTAGTTTGTGTTATAATTTGTGATTTTGGGGATTCATGAAAAATAGACTTCGTACGTAGGGAATTAGTGTAGAATAGGTTCGTAAGTGTTTTGTTTATAAATTGTTTTAAGCTATATAAAATGACAGACAGTAGCAAGTACGCACTTCATCCGAGGCGCAGAAAGGAAGGTCGCTCTCGCGGACTGCATTAATTGAATAGATGGGATTATAGAATGTTAGCGGGGAACATTACAAAAATTCTCCCGCCAGAATTTACGACGAAAGCAGGATCATCGCGAGGACATCCCATCGACGGCATCCCGGCGGAAGACATCTTGAAGACCGACGTAGAAGATATTTCCGTAAGCTTACGAACATTTATACGAAATATTATATGTCGTAAAGTGTTATATGTCGAACTCAGGTTTGTAAAGTCAATGTAATGTTTGAAATAGCAAAATTAATTATTGTAATAAATGTCATATTAACCGGGCAACATAAAGTCAAATTAAATGAGTAAACATCGTAAAGCATCACAAATGGCTGCGAAACCTGGGGTAGAATAAAATATATAATTAAAGAGTGGACGTTAGTACGTCAAATAAACCATTTCAGTAAGAAGAGAAAGTCATGTTTTCGTTCGCTGGAAAGTGGCGAATTTTCGACAGAAAAACTCTTATTGCCAGGCGCAGGTAACGAAAAAGTAGATAAATCCTCTCTATGTAGTAAATTACTTCCTCTAAGACATAGAGACAAACTATTTGTTTTATTGGTTCTTCATATCGAAAAATCGATTGACGGCAAAAGGCAGTTCGACCGTTTGTGATCAACTGCTGGTTCAATGGTTCTGTGCGCGTCTAAACGCAACCATCGCTAAACGAATTCGCCTAAACGCTTCTTCGCGAAGGTTCTGGCCTAAACCGTTCAGCCGATTTTCCCCAAAATTGATACTCCCAGATTGACCTGAAAGAACTGGAGGCTTTGGGACTTTGAAAATTATATTTTGATTTTTGAGGATTCTTTACATTATATTACATTAACTCTCAAACATTTTCAAACTTTCCTCAAAATTGGTTCAAAATTTCTCCAATGGTTCCAATACGAGGAGATTTAAGAGATTGTTGCAGGTCTCATGTTCGTTGAAATCCCAGACTTATCGAAAACGGCAAAAGTGCAATTTCTTGGGTGTCTTTCTACACCTATAATATTGAAGACAGAGTTTTTTGATGAAATCTGTTCTTTAAAGATAGATCTTGAAAAAGGTAATGTACACATTTTTGATAAAACGAGTAGATTTCGGTGTTTCATTAAATTTCCTCCTCGTATGTAACAACGGACGGTAAAAAAGATGCAGGTAGTCCCATTTTCAGGAAACTCCGTATTTTTGAAATTTGCAAAAATTGCGCGTGGGAAAAATTGGGTTGAGATAATTACATTTTTAAGCGTCGGCCCGAGTTCGCCCACACGGTGCTTCTGTAGCGAAGCGGCGAGATAACTCGAAGGACCTGAGTTCGAGTCTTGGTGGTGAAAATAATTTTCTTGTTGAAAACATTTTTGCATCTTCTAGTAGAGTAATTAGCAGTTAGAATCAGTTAGAAAGAATGCGAGAAAGTATGTGCTGTTGTGGTACTCCTAGTTGTTTTTTCTGTCTTTACTATTGGATGTAAAATGTATGCAATTATCAATCGAACCGAGGATTAACTCACTACAAACTACGTTGTCTAGAGTCAAACCAACTAAAGCGTCCGTTGTAAATATGTGAAATATAGTCGTTTAAAACATTATCGACAAACTGAATAAGCTCTAAAGATCGACAACAGCTCATGCATAAGAGGAAGAAAGTCATCGGCAACATTGTATTAGACAGAATGAAAGAGTGCTCTTCTCCAGAATTGTTTTGAAATTAAGTGAATGACCACATTTTACGTATGTATATACGTACCTGTACATCGTTGAGACGGGATAATTTCCAACATCGTAACTGACACGTATGCGACCATTAAAAAGTTCTACGGCTATATGTTCATTTTGGCCATCGTAAAGCAAAACACCATTTTCTTGTTCAGTAGCAAATAAAATTGTAACATTTGCCTCCGGTTTTGTTCTTAGCGGTTCCAATTCCACAAATGAGTTGTTGTGAACAAAGCTTAGACTAGTAAGATATTCACAACGTTTTCCTGTAATAAGAACATTAATTTCAACTGTTACATGCATACATGTCGAATAAATAAAGAAATATTGCACTATTAATTAAATACGTAAAAATAAATATGCAATCTCTGTGAAGATGATGCCGATCTGGGTGGCCGAGATTGCCAAGGCGGTAGTGCCGTAGCGATCTCGGACCGAAGAATCGTGGATTCGAATCCCGCTTTGGGCGTGGTTGTGCGTGTTCCGTGATTGTGAGTGTTGTCTATGTGTGATGTTCTTGTGTCTCTCTTGTGGTTGTAGTCAGGAAAGGCATCCGGTAAATCAATAAAAACGCAGCCCGCCCCCATTAGTGCCGACCCTGTTGAAACGGGAAGAAAGGCTACGATGAAAAACAAATCGCTGTGGAGATCATCTACACTGCGTTCATCTACTGCATTCCTCAATCACTGTTTTGGGAGAATGCAATGTTCTCGGAGCGCACTGGGAGGTCACAAAGTTTGAAAGTGAATGATAATCAAGGGGTCTATTGTAGGTCAATAGCCCAATATGAACAAGAGATTCATAGGTATAATCCCATTGATTTAAAAACATATATTAAATGAACTCGATAATTTCTTTCTGATATGATTTCAACACTTTATATAAATAAACTATTCGCTTCTCTTCTTTCGTATACGTTATTCCTCCGTGGAATCAGAATGTAGTTAGGCTGGTGCAACCAGTGCACTGCACCGGTCCCTCCAAGTAAGAGAACCTTAAAAGAATCCCCGCGGACGGGTATCGGCGGTTAGCGACCACTACTGCATTTAACGGTATGGTAACTGTCAAGAAGGCATGATATGGGGATGATAGGGGTGAAAGGACGAACACAAATACAGCCATGCCCGCCGTGGGACGGGACTCGAATCCGCGATCCTTCGGTCCGTGGTCGCTGTGGTACTACTGCCTTAGCGATCTCGGCCATCCGGACAGGCAGTAAATCTTTATTTTGCCTTCTTTGCCTATTTCAGCTTCTCACGCATATTTTTACCATTTCATCTTATTTTTGCCATTTCCGTCATTATTTTCTGCTTTTTACTTTCTCGCTATGGAGTAGAGAGGAAGTTATGTAATGCTGCGCGGAAATACTGCAAATTTTCGGCAGAAATACTTTTATTCCAGGGCCCTGGTACCGAAAAAGAGTGTAAATTCACTTGCTAACTATATATAAAAAATCCTCTAACTCTTAGTGTAGACAGAATCCGTGATTTGTGGGTCCTTGATACCGAAAAATCAAATGACGGCTTTCTGCAGACAGAAGACATAGGAACCTTTGAAAAAAAAAAATAATAATACAGAGATTCGGTTGCTCAAAATCCCTTTGATGTAAAAGCACAAAAGGGCTCCAAACTATCGCTTCGTGCGTAATTCACCTTGAAAAGGAATTACTTTATAATCAATTTCCTCCCAATTTGATAAATATATCGACTCGCAAATTGCAGGATTTTGTAGGTGGGCTGCAGAGAAGAGAATATAAAACAAAAATAAAAATTATGTTTATACTAGACCTAAAACAGACGGATTCAGGGTAATTAAATTGACCAGCGAATTTGTTTACTAGCTAAGTGCTTTTTAAGTGTATGAGGAGGCCAAAAGCGCGACATTGGAGAACTGTTTTTTCAGCATGCTTGTGTCGACAGAAATGGGGCCTTTGTACGACGGTAATTTCTTATAAACAATTACATTTCTCGACAACGAAATATTATGGCACCTATCAGATTCCGGACTTCTCTATTAAACGCCATTCCGATGGGACAATACAAAATTCCAACATTTCCAAAGTAATAAACAATTTCCAACTTTTGTAAATATAATGCGGGAAGAGTCTCCCGAAACCACAGAGCCGAAAACAGCGAATTATCAATTTTGTAAAAATATACAATTTTATAAACAATTTCGAAATATGCGCTAGAAAGACCGGGAAAGCTCCACAAATTGTGCCTGAGATGAACATTTTAAAATTGCAGTTTGACAAGAATTACAAATTCATTACTAAAAGTTAGTACAATTGTTCCTAAAATGCTAAATATTTACTGGACTATTGACAGTAATTCTGGAAGGAACACCCCCGCTTAGAAATATTTTTTCGTCATGCGCAGGGGAAATTTCTCCTTCGGCAGGGAAAAATGACAATATTTCAGCCTAATACGTAAACAATCGAGGCCCCGTCCCAGGGAACAGCGTCTTTCCCGCCCCCTGACATTTTGAGGCAATCACAATCACAAGGCACTAAGGATACGGCAGTTAGCGATTAGTCGAGGCGCCCCTCCCCCGGGTCGCGGGGTGACCAAGTTTGTCTGCACGTATGGGAAGATTAAATTTCACCCACACTTTCTTCCGAGGGGTACAAGCAAAATATTGAATAATGCATCACAATTTTCAATCTCTTTCAAATAAAATTGCATTAACGAAGCAATAATTCAGTGCGAACTAAATAAAATAGATGTTTTTTGCTTTACAGAACATTGGTTACCTCATAATCAACGAATCATTCTCCGAATTGTTAGTTTATATCTTGCAATATCCTATTGTACAGAGAAGAAATCAAATAGGTCCTGCACACAGAGGTTTGTGTATTTACGTAGGAAATAACATTGACTTTACCTTCTTATCGCAAGTCAATGTGGTTGTGGTTGAAAATGTTTTTGAAGTAACAGTCGTACATCTTACTAGGCTCAAAATTATTTTACTCTGCATCTACAGACTTCCAACAAAGCGAACTTTAGATTACTTCCGTTTCTCAGAAAATCTACAGATAACTTTGAACTAAATTAGTAATCGCTCTTCTAAATCCTCTGTTGTACGTAGAGATTTCAATATTGATTTTCTGGGTGAATCTCATGAAAAAGAGCAGCTCCTCAATTTATTTCATTCTTTTAATTTAAATATTACCGTGAATGTACCTACACAGAATACATTTAAATCGAAAAAAAGCAATAGATCAAATCATAATTAACCAAGCCCCAACAAGATAGGAAATAATAACGTATGATCTACGATTCAGTGTCTACGATGCACACATCCTTACAATTACTAATAACTTGAACACTGGCACATTAAATAATACACGCATTTGTAAAGTATTTACTAAAAACAAAATAAAATACGGTCAATTTGCTGCAGAAATCATTGAAGGCAATTTATAACGTTGACACAAAAAATATAATGTATTCTTCCCGACATTTTCATTTCAATTTAACGCGTTCTTCTCTTTTAGAAAGAGAAAAATTAACAATAAAAATTAACAGAAAGCAATACTTGGACTTACTATACATGCTTACGTATAAGTATAAAAGGAATTAGATTAACATGTAAAAAAGCGTACTCTATACTTTATTCCTATACTCTACTCTTTACTTAACAATCAAACCTTAAATGTCAAACCTTAAATGGAACGTCCATTTAAATGAAATGAACACAAAATTCAGTTCTTTATGCTACGCTTTCAGAATTCTTTTAAATTCAGTCAGCCTCCTTACTGCTCGTTATGTATATTTTGCGTATGTTCATTACAGCCAGGAATATAGCATAATATTCTGGGGAAATACATCTTATAGCTTGCAGACTTTTAGATTAAAAAAACGAATTGTACGAATAATAAGCGAACCTCACCCACGTGATTCTTGGAAGCCTCTCTTTATTAATCTAGGTATTTTACAATTACTATGTCTCTCGATATATGAATCAGTGGCTTTTGTCAAAAATGACTTACTCAAGGGCGGGAATATATGTAAAAGAAATACAACAACGCTGATGTCTACAATACTCGACTACAACTACAATACTCGACGTAGTAATCATATTCATCAGATGACAGTATCAACAGCTCACTACAAACAATTCACATACAATACATGTACATTATTTTACAACACATTGCCAGATGACATTAAACGATTCAATTCAATACAAATGTTTAAGTGCCAAATAAAGTATTTTCAGCTGCACAACTGTTTCCATACAATTAGAGACTATACCGAGCATCCAAAAAGAAAGTAATATTAATTTTAACAATGACATTTAGTGTATAGTTACCATTTGGATTGTATAGTTCTAAAGAACCTGTAACACGAATTGTACTTCAGCTTCTGAATCAATGACACCAATCTTGAACAAGTTAAGATTTAGATTTATTTAGGCAAAAACCAGTAAAAACTGTGTGACGTCTGGGGAAGAAGATAATCTGCGCACGTTTTCTTGAGTTCCAGAATCCCTTCCCACCACTTTAACTATAAATTGTTGAAAGATGAGCAAAAGTTAAAGAAAAATAAATAAAAATAAAATTCACAAAAACGTGAGATTAGCGACAATTGAAAAGCTACACATTTTCGTTTCCGAATTATAGAAAACTTATTCGCAAAGGTAAATAAACTGCAGATTTTATTTTCTGCTTTGCTAACAAAATAGTAGTTGGCCTTTACCTCTACTACCACTACAAGCAAATGGAGAGTTCAACAAAACGTGCGCATAGTGAAGCTACATTTACGTCCACAAGCAAAACAAGGGTCCATCTCAGCATTTGCTCAATGAATCAGGGAAACTGGACAAAAACCTGATCGAGATGGTGGTCATTGACCCGGAAGCTGAAGTACATTGTTACAAACATATTACGTCTTTTGAAAAATTATACAATGCAAATGTACACTAATTCATTATATATCACTGTTTTGTTAAAATAAATATTTTTTCTTTTTGTTGATTAGTATAGTTTCTAATTGTATAGAAACAGTTATGCAGAGGAAAATATTTTACTTTTAACTTAACTTTGTGTACTGTAAATTTTTGTACTTGTGATTTCGTTCAGTTTTCGTGATCCTTGAGCAAATGCTGAGATGGCCCCTTGTTTTACTTCTGGGTAAAACATCTTCTAACATCAAATTAATTTCTCCCCATAGCACGTCACACACAGTTTTTAACTGTTTTGACGAAAATAAATAAATAATAAATAAATAACCATTATGACGAATCACCCGTTTCCATGTCCATT